CGGCGATTCACTGTACAGAATCGTCCGGTTCTCTCTAGAACCGGACGATCTCCGATTTTTTAGGCGATCCGGTCCCCTTTTAACGATTTCCGAGTCGAACCGGGCGAGTCCGGTTCGACTCGGCATTTTTTAAAACACTGGTTCAAAGAGAGAGTAGATTTCAGGTTAAAGTAGTTTAGAGAGAGAGAAGATTTGGGGTTTCTCACATTTTATGGTGTGAGTTGTTGGGTCACAATGTGGGGTATGCACGGGGTGAGAGAGCCGAACTTTTGCCTTGACACTGTAATACTTTTTATTTCAATCTAAAAATCTAGTAAAATCTTGCGGTTGTCCAAATGGTTCAAATCTACTTTACAAGATTTTTGGATTGCAATAAAAAAATATTGCAATTTTGGGTACATCCAAACTATCACTTAAAGTATTGGAAAACCTTTACATCAAGGAAAATGTTTATATAGACTCTAAACAATCAAATTAGATCCTACCTTAAAAATTTCACTAGAAGAGATTGTTTTGATGCTCAAATATCCTCAAATTGATCATCTCGATATCAAGATGCATGAACATGAGAAAAACATGGATTTCAAGTGTTGGAAATAGTGCATCTTAAAACACATTTCTAGACTGTCAATTTTCAAGATTTTGAAGTTTTCATAGATATATTTGATCTACATTATTTTTGAAGATTTAAATTTTATAATAAAAAATAAAAATATATTTTAATGCTATCACAAAGATTTCCAATATTGAAACCAAATTTCTCAACACTATTTGAAGGTGGGCTTTAGTTTGATTGTTTAGAGCCCTCGGCTCTATACAAACCGCACCCTTACATCAATCGTCTCGGGTTAAACATTATAGTTGTGGAAAAAAATATTATGATTTCAAACTCTAAAAATAATGTATATTATAACATATTATCGAGACTGTCTATTTCTCCCTAAAAGTAAGTGTTCACAAAACCGTAAATTCTGTACCATTTTTTGAGTTTCACATTTTTACTGTCGGTGTTGAAAATTGTTTTGAGAGCCATCATGGAGATTTTGTATTGTCGAAAGTGATTTCTTGACAAGGATTTGAGGTGAGGCTTTATTTTGTTGTCATAAACCTTAGGTTTTTGTAGAAACTTCATCCTCTCTAGAAATTAGAGAAAAAGAAAAACTTTGTAACTTTAAACAATCAAATTAATGCACATCTCTAAATTTTATCATAAGACGTAATTTTAGTTCCAAAAATTATTAGGATTACTCTAAAATCTATTTTTATATTTAACTATAAAAATTTAAAGTTCAAATATAGTTCAAATCAAGTAGATCCACAAACACATAAAACTATTGAAACTGGACAGTCCGAAAATGTGTTGCAAGATATACTATTTTTGAGACTCAATATATATTTTTTATATCCATACATTTTTATTGTGTGTGGAAGCTTTAAATTCAATGGGTTAATATTTGACAAATAAAATATGAGAAATACAGCATGAAATACATACAACAAGAACACGAAGATTTATATGGTTCACCCCAAAATGGCTACATTTACCGTCATGCAAACAGAAATCCACCATACCAATGAAAGTTACATCAAAGATTTTGGAACAAATCTCGACAAAAATGCAGTCGAGCAAACCCTTTTAAACTTGCTTTCCCAAACTGTCGATCTCTCATCTCTATTCTATAACCAAACCACTGTCTAGGAAGAAAACAACATTGATAGCAAACGAGACTTTATCTTACTAAAATGATAAACAACCCAAAAATCTCCATGGGAACCGCTTCTCTATAAAAAACCAATATCTCATTCTTTAGGAATCTTCAAGAGGCATCATCAATGTTTCTCTTCATAGGAAGCTATCTTCTCTCTAAGAGAAAATTGCATTTTTTGCTTATGAGGCTCTATCTCCTTCTAACTCTAGAGGAACTACCATTCCCATATAATGACTCAAATAAAGCACACAAATTCTTTGCACTTTCATACCATATATATATATATATATATATATATATAAGATTAGAAGTCCATATTGAATAGGAAACTTCTTAAAGATCTTATATATATCTCAAAACCAAGTCATTGATTGTACATGAGTTTATAAGAAGAAAGACAAGTCATCAGAGACTGGTGGTGATCGATTTATGTTTGGTTGCAGAAGGCTATGTGCAGAAAGAAGGTATTGATTATAATGAGATTTTCTCTCCAGTTGTGAAACACACTTCTATTCGAGTTTTTCTAGCCATGGTTGCATTGTTTGATTTGGAGTTAGAGTAGCTTGAGTTAGAGTAGCTTGATGCCCAAAGTGCATTCCTTCATGGAGAGTTAGAATAACATATTTATATGACACAGCCAAAATTGTTAAAGGAAAAGAGGACCATGTCTGCAAATTGAAGAAGTCGTTGTATGGGCTAAAGCCGACTCTTAAGCAATAGTACAAACATTTTGATACATTCATGATTGAACATGGGTATGTCAGAAGTAAGTATGACAATTGTGTCTATTTTAAAAAAATTATTGATGGTTCGCTCATCTACTTATTGCTTTATGTGGATGATATGCTTATTACTGCAAAGAATTCTTTAGAAATCAGTAAATTGAAGACTCAGCTTACCAGAGAATTTGAAAAGAAAGATTTAGGTTTAGCAAAGAAAATTTTGGATATTCATAGAGATTGAAAGTTGGGTAAATTGGATCTATCTCAGAAGGAGTACATTGAGAAGGTCATCGCTAGATTCGGGATGGAAAATTCAAAGCCCGTGGGTACTCCTCCTGCTACACATTTCAGATTGTCGGCATCATTATCTTCAAGTTCAGATGCTGAAAAGGAATACATGTCATGTGTTCCTTATGCGAGTGTAGTTGAAAGTCTTATATATGAAATGGTTTGCACTCGTCTACGAGGAAATTGCATCTTATGTACGGGAGGCTCTAGCTCCTTCTCTCCAAATGAACCACCATTCCCATATGGTGACCCAAATATGACACATATTCTCTATCTAAAAATAGCCCATTATATAGAGAAAGAGACCCACCAAAAAAAGGCTCATGTAATGACCCTTTATATACGTTCTTTTATGAGAAAATAATTTTTATCTCTTTAAATATAGGCTTTCAAGTTCATTTTAATCCAATAGAACTTATCCTAATAACCAGCTCCTAAAGAGTATCTAATTGCTCAATAGCAATCCCGCATAATATGATGTTATTTTAATCCCACAAAATATGGGATTTTTTTATGTTGGGGATTTTGGATAGCACCAAATCCAACACCTAAAACTCATGGGAATACCGCACCTTTATCAGAGCCATGTTTCTCTCTTGGAAACTCATCTCCATATTGGAGTTCCATTCTCATAACCCCCAAAGGGGTAACCCTCAAAGGATGCGTATTATATCCTCCTCCAATCTCTTATAAAGATATCACTTTCTTGCTTATCAAGAAAATCAATTTTCTATTTTCCATAATACCCTAATTTTTTTTTAAAAAAATATGGGTATGGTGATTTAGCTATCATCAAAACCAACAATCTCCACCTTGATAGCAAAATCACCATAATTGCCTTGACAACCTTCATTGAATAGATTTTTTGATTTTTCCATTGTGGAATTTTTACAAACACTTTGCCTTTATGTTTCTCCACCTCAAACCATGGATATTTCTTGATTTCTTTTCACTTGCCTCCACTGTGGAATTGTCACAAACACTTTGCCTTCATATTTCTCCACCTCAAACCATGTATCCATAAAATCATTTTTTTTTTCTTAATACAAACCTTAGCCCCGTACACACCTTGTGCTCTGACACCAATTATAGGGTTCTCGTGAACCCCTAGCTTGCGGAACTAAGAATCACAAACACCGGTATCCCACCCAAGATCGTGTACATGATTGTCTAAATGCGAAGTAGATGAATACAATTATAAATCGAGTGCGAGAAATAAAACAAACATAAAATGCACACCATAACAATACACAATTTACGTGGTTCACCCTGTAGGGCTACATCCACGGCCTCGATAACTAGAAATCCACTATCACAAAAGATTACAGTTTTGGGTTACAAGAGATAATACTTATCTCTAAACATCGGTAAAATATCATCACCAAGCTTCGCTTCTAAACCCTCTCTCCCGACCGAGCAACATCAACATCATCTTTTCTACCGTAATACCGCTATTGATAAGATAACATCGAGAGCAACATAGAGATTTTTTCTCTCAAGAAGTGAAAGTTAACAAACCCAAAACTGATGGGAATATTGCCCCTCTCTCAGAAGCCATGTCTCTCTCTTGGAGACTCATCTCTATATTGACGATCCAATCTCATAACTCCCAAAGGGATGACTCTCAAAAGATAGGTATTATGTATTTTTTCAATTTCCTTCTTGCTTCGCAAGAAAATCAATTTTATATTTCTCATAATACCCTAATCTTTATAAAACAATATAGATACGATGATTTAGCTCCCACCAAACCCAATACGTGAAAAGGGAAGAGAGAGAAAATCAAAAACCAATTTTCGAGCAAAAGAGAGTGGTGAAAGAGAGAACCAATGCCTACAAATTTCAATATGGAAATAGAAAACAAAGGCTCCCCAATAAAAAGCAGAAGAGAGAGAAAAAGCAAAGGCTCCCCCCGTAATAACGAGGAGAAGGGGAGATGATTGTTATTTTATTTTTAAAATAACAACAAATGGTTTGAGGTTTTTATCTTTGGACCGCTAGTTTTATCCGAAGATGGGGCCTCCGACCGCATGGGCAATGCTCTGCTAAAATAAAAAATAAAAAATAAAAAATAAAAATAAAAAACCAAAAAGTTAAATTAACTCGGTGGTATTTTTGTGTGGACCACCTTTCGTTTAAATATATGGATATAAACGGAGCAGCTCGTACTTTTCCAAATGTAGTGCTTTTTTAAAGTTGGACAGATAAAGTCTACAGCAAAGGGCAATAAATGCGACTCCACACCTACTAGCATTCCACCGTCTGAAAAACATGTCCCCTAAAAGTTTCTCTCTATTTAAACGCCATGGACCTTTATTCCATCCCATGCAACTCAGTGTTGAGAGAGAGAGAGATCGATCAACTAAAGCCTCCGAGTGCAATGGCTCAAACCTGTGTTTCTTTTTTTTTCTTTTTATTTATTTTTGGTGGGTCAATAATGGCTGAAACCTCTGTTAAGGCATCAAAAAATGCAGGTGTCGGTGAGGTTGGTAGTAAATTGAGTTGGAACAGTGTGTTCGACATGGGTAGGTACCCGGTGAAAAGAATTGATGTAGAGGAATCCAGAAATCGAGCATCCCCTCCAAGGCCTCTAATGATAGTGGCTCCCACTGAGGAGGGGGAATACCCTGTCATCATTTTCTTCCATGGCTTCATCCTCTGCAACTCCTACTACAACCAGCTCCTTTCTCATGTCGCTTCTCATGGCTTTATTGCTGTTGCCCCTCAGGTCAACCTTTATATAAACTTTGCTAATTCCTCCAAGTTTTGAAACCACGTGCGTTCTATTCATTAGATTTTTAATATATTCATAATTATATAG